TGGAAGCTTCAGGTCATTCGAGCTACCCGTTGACTATCCTACAGTGCTCAACACAGTATATCGGTCTGGCGAATGCTATCACGTATGGGTTTAACGAGCATTTGAAGACGACGATCAGGCGGGACTTGGTGAAGTGGTACAGAAATAGACGAGGAAGGGCACAATTATCATCATAACTCATGAACAATAATAACTGCACGAGTCTATAATGTTAACGTCACATACTACCTTACCCTGCTTGCAGTGAGCGGTGAGACTGCGGCCTAGCGCAATGGACCCTGGATTTCCCATCACGACGCTGGCTATATCTGTGAGCTACTTCGTCTCCCTAACAATCCTTCCGCCATTCGACACGCCACTTTAACGAGGATGGCGAATACGAAGCGAGCCACCGATGTGCCTCCAGTGACCCCATCACTAGACCAAGAAGATAACATGTAGGCACAAAAACATTAGTACTTCACTTCTTCAATCTAACATCAGCAGTACTTTGCGCAACGCTACCGAGTCTCCACTTCTGCGCCTTCCAGCTGAGCTAAGGAATCGGATTTATGAGTACGTATTACCTATCGTAAGGCCTGAATACAGAAAACGTGCTAATATATCATGCTTTTGGCAGATATGCGCTGATCCTCCCCAACTTTTGGTACGATGACTGGTACAGTGTTCTATCGTGTGTGTGCCGTCAGATTCAGGATGAAGCGGGTTCGATACTGTATTCAGGCAAAATCTTCAAATTCGATAGTGCCGTTGCTATGGGAAGATACGTACGGCAACTATCGGCATCCCAGCGAAATGCCATCAGAACCATACAGATTAGTAGGGCAGACTATCCATACAGTCAGTGGAAACATTATGATATAAACAATATCACTCGTCTGCACCGACTGGGGGGATTGCAAACGATTCTTGTCAAAGATGACGGACTTGCACAGATAGTGAGGTCCTGGAAGGCCGGTATCAAGGTCATCGTGGAGAAGTGAGGAGACCATGTAGACGGGTATCTCGGGCGTTAAGCAGGGCAGAAGATGCCCACTAGCAGTCTTGATAGAGAGAGAAAGTGGAGTGAAAGGCAGTATGGGCCAGTGCCACAAACCAGGCGATACATCTACATGAACCTCAAATTCAGCTGCCATTGATGATTGCATACTAGACCACTCATATTAGCATGCTAGCAAATAGTAGCCCCAACGCTCTCTCACTTCTCTGACAGTTCTCGGCTTCACCTAGACTTGGGTCCAAGCTCTCGCTCACTTGCCAACTATTTCAATCGAACCCACAACACAACTCACTCTGAACAATAACAACAGAAACAACAACTGCCGATGGGCATCTTCTATTATGACCCAAGAGATATAGCGGCGCGCGCTCAGATGTACGTAGTTCAAATTCAATGAGCAAGTGCGGTGAAGGCAATAGGTAACTTTTGAATAGCACGGCAGCGAACCAGCGCAATTCTCCTCTTCTACGACTGCCAGCCGAGCTCCGGAACCGAATCTACGAGTATGCGCTGGGTGGCCATAAGATCTATATGGTAATACGCATACGCATCTTGGAGACCAAAGAGAAGCTATGGCTGGATCGGACCGATCGGTGTGGAGTTGTACCAGCTTTTGCATTGCTGAAAGTATGCTCCCAAATCAACGCCGAGGCTGCGCTTCTCCCATACAGCCTTAACGCTTTCTGCTTTGAATCAGCCTACATCCTTGAACTTTTCCCAAGAGACTTCCCCATATCAGCCACGCAAGCGATCAGAAGGCTAGAGTTCTCTTGGTTGGTCACGGACCACTACATGCTCGAGCAGATCTCGTCATTCCTTCTTCGATTTGAAGGTCTTCAGGAACTTGGGCTAGGTTATGAATACGACACCCGGCCGTCTTGCAGTTCTAGAACGAAGGCCAGACTTTGGTATTATTCGTTGGAACTAAAGGCTGGGATGCCCAATCTCAAGATCTTTACCTGGGACAAAGGCATTTACCAAGCAGTATAAATTATCACTGATGTGATTTGATATCGGCTTTGAAAGCTGCATAGCAAGCGCAAAAGAGTATAGTTCATTGTTTCACGATGATACACGGGCGGTATTACTGGCATCTACAAGGAACAGTATTAGCTGGAATCAGGATTTCTGATGTCAAAAATGTATAATAACTTCATTCTCCCATACAAGACGCAGCAAGCGACTTTGTGTACTCCTCACTTCTCAGTAGATCAACACCATTTCACGTGTAGCTCACTCACCTACATTACAACACAACATGTTCCCCATCAACGTTACCAACTCTCCCCCTTCATTAAATTCTTTTGATGCCTGAATTATTCAGGCGTTTCCAAATCCCTCCAATACTCTATCTTCTTCCTCCGCGGTCTCTTTCCCTGGCCAATCATTATTCATCTTCTGCGTCCTCTTTCTATTCCAAATACACACCCAACAAGATCCCGTTTCCTCCCATCATCCAGAATCTCCATATGTCCATCCTCGCCGTCATTGAAACGCGTATCACATTAGATTAGAGGGTTTTTACTACATACACAGTGCTTGCCTCTAATCCAGTCTTCGCATGACATCAGATCTCCACTATCTCGGTTCAAGTGTCCGTAACACTTTTATCAGATTTGGGGTTGTATGTAGAGGGTTGGTAATTTGTGAGAAAGCATAGGACACGCCTGGGAGTGCTTGAAAGTAGTTTCCCTGGGATTGCTGTCCAGAGAAGGAGGAATCGCGTTCGTCTGTATTCTGTTCAGATGTGTTGATTCATTAGGGTTGGTGGTGACCACTTTCAGAAGAACGTAGGAGTCAGTGGATCTGAAAAAGCATACGCGTAGATTGTCTTCCTCGTTTGTTCCAGTATATCTTACTGCTTCTCAGGATACCCCATCTTCGCCTCATCTTCCGCAGTTCCAAATCCTCCCCAACCCTCAAATCCGTCAGCAAACTTGACTGCCGCGCGGAGCCAGTGGTCCGACCGGTTGTCTCCAGTCTCCCATGTTTCCTCCGCTACCTTCAAGGCCCGCAATGCTGTAAATATCAGTCAAAATGTCCATGTCCTAGCGTAACGTCCACGACATACCCTTGACGTGATGCGCATCAGTCGAATGCGGGCCGTTCAATGCCTTGTCTACAACATACTTCCAGCCCTTCTTCTCACTGCCATCATTACCCATAGCTTTACCCATATCGACCTCCGGCCTCATCTGGGCAATGTACACAGCTAATGCGAATAGCCACCATTGCCGCAGAAGACTAACATGGAACTTGGCCGGTACCAAGGGGAGGAGGATGCGAATGGCATGAGAGCTTGTAAGCACATGCACGATGAAGAAATCGTACTTCCCCTTCGCTGGTAACGGTGTGCCTGTCAAAAGCCCCAATCCCACTTCCTGAGCAGCCTGAAACTGTTCGTTCGGTGCTGTAATTTCCCAGGCATTCCAGTATTCTAAAAAGGCTTCTTCGCGCTCCTCTAACACCTTGGTGATATCACCGCTGCGGTGGTCATAAAGGCCGTCGAAGCGCTTGTCTTTGCGCACTTTGTCCAGGATATCGATGAGCCCGGTGTGATCTCCACTTGCGCTATGCGGGCTGGGCTTTGTATACCTTGGGTCGTCAATGTATTTATGAAGGGGACTGTAAAAGCAGGAGCCCATAGCCAGAGCCTCGATCGAGACGGTTCTGGAGTTCAGTTCGTAAGCGTAGCCAAGATGGATGAGAGGATGTGCAACTGGATAGTGTTAGCGATGCTCAAGCTTTGAAAGCAGCAAGCTTACGTCCGGAGATAAGGCCATTGATCAGCGGCTCCTTTCCCTTGAACATGAATTCCTCGAGCACTTCTTCGACATTGTACTTCTTGCTCACGAGCTGATCTTCGAAGAAATCGATAAATGCGCGTTGGTATCTGGCTGCTGTTGGTAATTGATTCCGTCTCATCGTCGTCACTACTCACTCGCGCTTCCCCAGGAACTCGCGCCAATCGTCCTTTGTTATTTCACCTGGCGCGTCATGCCATGGTTCTAGTACTTCAGCCTCCTTCTCGTAGATTTCGTTGAGATGTTCTGCCGTGCCTCCGAGAAGGTAAGCCGATCCTAAGATCTATGGTATTTGCTTAGCAGCTACAGCCTTTACAGGAGGAGCAGCATACGTGCGGTGTATGGTTGTGAAAAGTAAGATTGTGGTATATAATCGAGTAGTTCGCGTGATTTGCTTTGAGTAGATGCTTGAGAGTTCGCGGTCGCTTTTCCGCCGAGGTTTCGATATCATGGATCTCCACAGAGGGTAGATCAACAGTGAGATGCGTGCCTTCGCCTGCACGAAGAAAAGATGGTAACGATATTCTTGGTAAGCTGAACATTATTTCTGTGTGATTGCAAAACTCAAGAGAGTTTGCGGGGAAGATGCGCAATGAGAGCTCGCGTCGCGCCTTCCTCGTTCTGGTATGACGTGATGTCCTCGGTGCCGCTCGCAAGCTTAACCCAATCAGGATGAGCAGAACCTCGAAGTGACTCCACAATGCTTCCATCCTCGCTGCTCGTTCTACCTTACGAATTTAAGTATGCTTGATCGCGAATATTGAACTTGGCAATCATATTCAAGTATCTATCGATAGAAAAAAAAGTTACTGAAAGTTTACATTCCCACTTCCTTCTGGTGTGGTGAACAGTTTCCGCCTTCCTTCATGCATATACTGGTTTTCATGGAACGTGTGGTTTTCTCACTTTAATACTGCACTGGGAAGGGTTGGCAAAGTGTTAATTGCTATGGCCCTCAACTTTGAATGAGAGAAGAAAGACAGCTTCATACAGATCGCGCTTTCATGTCTTCGACCTTTGCCAGTTGGGTCGTATCTGTTGACTTATCTCCCCGTACCATAAGACGTCTTAGAGGTGTTAGAAATTCTTCAAGTCTCTAGTTTACTAACGCCAAATGTAGCAAGTATATGCAGATTGATCTTTTGAAAAGCTTAGAAAAAGCAATCTTATACATAGTCACCCGCCTCATCCCACGTCTACAACTTCGCCACCTCCCTCACCTCCAGCATTCCTTCCATTGTCTCCTTCCATACTTCCGCCGCCTCAGCACTAATAGCATTCAAGTCATAGCTAACCCCAAACCCAATGATGCCCTCTGCACTAGTCGAACTTCCAACCAAGAACTCATTCTCCCGTGCCCTGACCCCAATATTCACGTCTCGGAAGTCCGCCGCAAAGTCTTTGTCCCCTAGGTTCTTCAAATCATATGTTCCGCGCTTGAAAAATGTAGCCAGAGGGCCGATGGACGAGACACCGCACGTCGCTCCGTAGCCGGCTGTGCTGGGAGCTAGGGAGCCTTGCGGGTTCTGGAAAGAGGGTGAACGGCGTTCGGGTGGTAGTTTTGCTTCGACACGCTCGATCTGTGTGACGTAGCCGGTCGCGAGTAGACGGCCTGGTGAGTGTTTGTCAAGAATACCTGCTGTACCTGTCTTCCCCTTTCCTTTCAAGCGTTTTTGATAGACTCGCAACTCTCGATTGGCATGCTTTGCTGTTAGTTTGAACCTTCCTTCTACTGGTAGATCTGAAGACAAGAAAGGCATTACTATCCCTTCGCTGAATGCTAGCATGCATGAGTCTGCCGGTGGTGGGTTCACAAAGAAGCCGCGCGGGTTTAGAGGAAACGATGCTGTGAATGGCGGGTGACTGTCTGAAGGAGAACGCTTTTCGTGGATGGACATCATGCCTAAACCGGCGAGAGCGAAACACCCAGCTCCTATACTGACATTTGCAGATCGGCATAGTGATATCAGACGTGCTGAAGCGGCAGCTGAAAGCGATGCGGAGACATGACCACATGACATCGGAGGGCGGGTTGAAGGGCTATAGTCGAAGAATCTATCGAACTTAGGTTCTAGTCGTAATGGTTCATCAAGCCTCTTTTCTCTCCATAGCGGATTCGTGAAGGTAGGTGGTAGTCCTCCTTTCTTCACATGTCTCAGCACTCTGATGAGCGCCCAGAACCAACGCTGTCTCGCCCTATTGCCTGCAATGGGTGGGTATAAGTCTTCTTGGGCGGCTGGTAAGACTTTCTTGATCTTCTCTGATGTACAGACAGACTCGATTTCTGCCAAGATGTTCTGAGACGGCTGGTTTACGATGCGAAGAAAGTGGCTGAACCAATTGTACGCCGAGAGACCATCGGAGATCTGGTGCGCAATCACGATAAGTAATCTCAGCTCATACGTCCCGTTTGGAAGTTTCCGCAAAGGTAGCACATGCAACTTCGATAAGCATTTTGCGGGCTCGACGATGCGAGTCACGTTGTAGGCGTGACGGTATAATTCTTTCTCATCAACTTCGTCATATGCGTCTTCGATCCAGATAATGCTCTGCTCGACTTGTTCGATTGCAGATTCAGAGGAAATGGGTACGTCGACGGCGAAACCCCGTGTTCCAGTTTCTTGGTTATCAACAACTCGAGCCATAAGCAGAGGATGTTGAAGCCGTAAAGCGGTCCACGCGAGCGCTATCCTACGTCTCAATTCTGTCTTTGAGAGCTTGTGCTGGATTGCCAATGTATAGAGAGCCGTCATATCTGTGGCATGATTAGTCGCTTTCAATAATAGTTGACCTAGTGAGTAGGTCTATAGTATCTCGCGCTCTTGTACATATAGTGTATAGCCACGAAGAACGAGTGAAATCTTTAGACTGATGTTGGACCAATACGAAAATACTGAGAGATGCTGCATACCTGCCCGGCCACCGTAGTACGTGCCATCTGAGTCAAATGAAGTCTCCACTAGCCCAAGCGGACGGTTGAATAGCTGCCTGCCATCTGTACTATCAGATAGTTTCCATTCTGCATAGTTCGTTGCATATTTGTCCAACCAATGACCCTGCTCTTGCATCTGTGGTTTCATTACGCTTCTTAGCTGTTCAATCTCGATGCAGTTGTTGCTGTTTGCCACTTCGAGAGGTGAACGATGAGAGATGTTGGCAAGAAAAAGGAATAGGTAAATGTATTGAGAACCATAAAAGATAGAGAGGCCAAGATGCGAAGGATGCCAGACGAGCGGAGTCGGAGTGACCACCAGGTTGTTAGACGAGCTCCTCGGATAGGCCCACTTAGGTCATCGACAGACAGTCGCCGAGGTAGCGTCATTCCTAAGATGGTTAGTGTTTAATTGATTCTCGACCTATAACTGAAATTGCGACCTAATTGTATACTCTGTTACTTTTCTAATCTAGTTGTGGCATGCATCACTGTGTATAGCTCAAGGGCACAATTTCAGTAGCAGGTACTGTTCGTGAAAACAAGCTTCTTCGTATCTGGCTAGATGCTGTATACGGATGAACAGTTACTTGGACAATTTACCCTAAAGGTATCCCCAGTGTATTATTTTAACAGGTTAACAGAACGCAAAATGATGTACACTTCTGCCGGGTATCTAAATCACACAGCAACGTTGTGTGGTCTTCTAAACTACGTCCTCCATCTCATCCTCTCCCTCGGTATCTCCATCACCCGGGCCCTCAGGTGCAGCTGCCTCTGCTTGTTTACTAGTGTCTCGCTGGTTGTCAAATACAGCCTGGCGCTTCCAGTTGCTTGCAAACGGCCCAGATTTGACGAGGAGCGCAATGTCGCCAAGAACTTCCTTGAGGTACTGCTCCGGCTGCTTGGTCCGTTGCTTGATGGCCTTCATAGGCCAGTACTGGTACTCGTCGAACAACTGGTGAAGTACATCGATAAGATCGGAACGAGCCATACGAGCAGCCTTGTTCTGTTGCGATTTTGCCTTGGTCGTAGGCTTGATGAAGTTCTTGAAGCGGTTGTTGAGTGTAATGGAGTTGTTGACGTCTGAGACTTCGGTGTCTTTTGTGATGATGGTGGTTGTGTGGGAGCCTTGAATGGCTTGCTTGATGCGCGCGGCGCTGAAGTCCTTGAATTCCTTGGTCTCGAGGGGATTCGCGTTGTATTGCCGTGTCGCGTGACCGACGAGCGCAGTCTGCTTGGGAATTGCCTTCTTGTATTTGCTCCGTTTCTGAACACGCGCATTCGGATCTTGTACACCACCAAAGCTTCCCTGTTGGCCTCTGCCATAACCGTAGCCTTGTTGTCCCTTGAATCCTGGCAAATCTTTCTCTGTGAACACGTATGTGTTGCCTAGCTGAACATCGGAGGCGGCTGCAGGGTCCAACTGGAAGGCTGAGGGAAGGTTGGACTTTGCGCGCCAACGGTCGTTGAGGAAGACGCGCATAGGCTTGTCCTTATCGATGCCGCTCGTTGTCGCGAAAGCGCAGACTTCTCCGATCTGAATCTGGTCGTTGTCGTTGCCGTCGGCAATGTCTTCCCACTTAGAGACTGCCTCGTAGAGCCAGTCTGGAATGCGCGTGAGCCAGACGTCTTGCTGTGGGTTATCCTTGTTGATAGACATCTCGCCCGTATCCTCGTAGAAGTCATCGTCCATGAAGCCGACGCCAGGCTCTTCCTTGACCTCTGGCTTAATGCCGTTCATGATTGCGGATGCGACGAAGTTGCGTTACGGCAGGAGTGCAAGGTATCCACGTTGTGGTCGGCGCGGCGTGTGCGTGACAATTGGTGATGATAGTAATAGAAGCTTGAGCGTGTGCCCTACGAAGAATGTGCCAGTGGTAGCGAGGTGGCTCAGCGAGCGTGAACCTTGGTTGCGATGATGAAAGACATCGGATCGTCTCAGGCAGGCGCATTGTACCTCCCGACGCGCTTCCGCACTAGCGTGCCAAGACTCTTATCGATAATGCAGCTCTGGTGAGGTCGCGCTTGCCCCACGTCTGTTGCCTATACCCGTCAACAACCAACGAGCAAGACTGGCTTTCTCCCTCTTGTAGCCCCAGAATCCGACGTTGTCTTTGGCAATTCTAATTCTTCTCTTACGTAGGATCTAGAAATCAATTAAACTGAACTAAGAGGGTTTTCTTTACGATCCAGCTTACCTCAAGCATCCCCCATCATGGCTTCCCCAGCTGTCACCTCCGCTTTACAGCAGATCGAGGCAACGTCGGCCAACGAAAAGCCCTCTCAGTACACCGCCCTTCTCCAACAGATAGTCGAAACATCGAACAATGTTGCCGCCGATCTGAACGCATACGCACAAACTCTCCTTGACGACTCTCTTGGCATAGTAGTCCTCCGACCACTTCTTGCTGCTTTCGTGGACGCTTACCGGACGGTCAAAGATCCAGATGCAAAGATTGATGTTGGAGAGAAAGTCATCACGCTCCTACAATCCAAGGGCGCGGGTCAGTACGAGGAACAAGATACACAAATTAAGCATGCTCTGGCAGACGCGTTCGAGCAGAACGACGATTTCAGGCGGTCTGCGCAGACACTTGCAACCATAAACCTCGAGTCGACACAAAAGTCAGTTTCTGCGGATGACAAGGCGAGAGTTTGGATTCGGATAGTCCGGTGTTACTTGGAGGAAGATGATCCGACAAGCGCATTCACACACTTGAACAAGATCAAGAACATCATATTCAACGTGCAGGACAAGGCAACCAAGGTCATGTTCCAGCTGAGTCAAGCCCGAATCCTTGACTCGCAACGATCCTTCCTCGATGCCGCGCAGGGATACTACACCTTGAGCAACGAGCCGCTAGTCGACACTGAGGAGCGGGACGGCTTTCTCGGAAGAGCTATTATCTGTACGGTCCTCGCTCCTGCCGGTCCACAGCGAGGCAAGATGTTGGCCAAGCTATACAAAGACGACCGAGCTAGTTCTGCTGAGGACTACGCCATCCTCGAGAAGATCTTCTTGAATCGTCTTCTCACACCCGCTGAGATCAAGGCCTTTTCCGCTAAGCTCGATCCTCACCACCTTGCCCGAGGCGCCGACGGCCTGACTGTGCTTGACAAGGCCATTCTCGAACACAACTTGCTCGGCGCATCGAAGCTCTACAACAACATTGGATTTGATCAATTGGGCGAGCTGTTGGGTATAGACGCGGAGAAGGCAGAAGACTATGCGGCGAAGATGTTGGAGCAAGGACGACTTGCCGGATACATTGACCAAATCGACCGATACGTCTTCTTTGAGGGCGAGGCCAGTGGCGAACGCAAGACTGGACATGCAGAGCGCGTTGTAGGCAAGGAGCTACGGAAGTGGGATGCCAATGTCACTGGTCTGGCAGAGGAGGTGGAGAAAGTCACTTCGATGATCCAGAACCAATATCCTGACTTCTATGCGTCGCAGGTGGTGCACTAGCATGGAATCAGTGCATCCAGCAGCGAATCGACGAGGAGCAGATAGTGCATAAACGGCGTCAAGGGATCGCATATACCCAGTGTACACTTAGACATGATGAATACGAGCATAAGAGCCTAAGACGTCGTTCTGATTCCAAACAGATTGCGTTGGTCCGACAACTCTGCGGCCAACGTGCTCATGGTATCGACACATATATGATACATTCGGAAGACTCATGACAAGACACTGCTGATTCCCACAATGCCACAGCTATTGTACACTCTTCTTCTCCTCTTGCCCCAATGCCGCCTCGTACTCCTCCAAACTCTTAACCTCCAAATCACTGATCTTCAAGACGGTGAAATGCAGTTTGCTCTTTACGTGTTTGGTGTGTCTTTGCCTCCTCTTGGTCTTCTCCTCTATTCTCAATGGTTCGCTCTCCACACCCACAACCCGCGCCCTGCACGTGAATAACCGCTCATCTAGGTAGTACACCTTTTTTCCATGGTCTGCGTTTCCCTTGACAGACTCCGGCGCTTTTAATGTGTAGTCTCGCGATCCAATGTGTGTAGCGCGGTTCAAGCGCAGAATGTCGCCGGGGCGTACATGTGGCATTTGGAAGGGGAGGCGAAGTGTGTCGCCGCGAGTCAGGAGATATGGACGGCCATGGAGATGTGCGGTTATGTAGTGTGCTGGCTGGGTCTGTAGGAGAGGGAGGAGCTTGCGGATGGAGGGTGTGAGGGTTTGCGAGAGGATGTCTGAGCGGGCGTGTGGTGAGGCTTTGACATCGTTTGAGGAAGCGGGCGTAGGGGCATCGCTGGGGAGAGGCTGTGGTGTTTGAGCGCGCTCTTTGGCTTCGTCTGATATGCGGTGGCCGGATTGGATGAGCGGTTCGGGGGTATTTGATGTGTCGAGGTTGTGCGATACGGTTGTTATTCCTGCGCGGCGGATGGTCGGTTGGACTATCGCCCTGGACTCGAGGAACGCATGGCGTGCGGAGCGAGCGAATAGAGCCATTACTGGGGTTGGTGGGACGCAATGGCTTGGGGGCTGCTGCAAACAGTATCTCTGGTCATGCGGCGGAGGTCCGATGTTGAAGAATCCAGCCCGCATCGCGCTAGTGGGGGCTAGTGCCGAACTTTTTGGAGGCGGAAGGCGCTGCTGTAAGAGACTCCACTCTACCACCACTACCCTTACCATCCAGCACACGCAGAGGTAGTCGCCATGCCTCAGAACGAGTATATCGAGCGCTTTACGAAGCAGTATGTCTACACCCATCATGCATCCTGCACCCCACCACCAGCGCCTCGCGCCTCAGTGCCAAGAACACTCCACTAACTCTGTCGCAACAGGCACGGAAAGCGCTTCGATCACGATGAGCGCCAACGCAAGAAGATCGCCCGTGAAGGACACAATGCATCGAAGAAGGCGCAAAACTTCCGTGGTCTGAGGGCCAAGTTGTACGCCGAGAAGCGCAGGAAGGAGAAGATTCAGATGAAGCAGAAGATCCGCGCACACGAGGAGCGCAACGTCAAATCCAACGAAGCACCCGAGCCAGCCACCGATGCGCTCCCCGCATACCTGCTGGACCGCAGCAACGAGAAGAATGCCAAGGCTCTCTCTTCCGCCATCAAGCAGAAGCGTAACGAAAAGGCAGCCCGGTTCTCGGTTCCCCTGCCCAAGGTCAAGGGTATTTCCGAGGAGGAAATGTTCTCGGTTGTCAAGACGGGAAAGAAGACGAAGAAGAAGAGCTGGAAGCGTATGATCACCAAGCCTACCTTCGTCGGTCCTGGCTTCACGCGTAGACCCGTCAAGTATGAGCGCTTCATCAGGCCCATGGGATTGCGTTACAAGAAGGCCAACGTGACACACCCTGAACTGAACGTTACCGTCCAGTTGCCAATCATGTATGTGTCTTCACGCAGTAACGACAGACGAGCATAGCTAACATTTCACAGCTCCGTAAAGAAGAACCCTCAGCAACCCATGTACACGCAGCTGGGTGTTCTAACCAAGGGTACCATCATCGAAGTAAACGTCTCGGAACTTGGTCTCGTAACTGCTGGAGGAAAGGTCGTCTGGGGTCGCTATGCACAAATCACCAACAACCCCGAGAACGACGGTTGCTTGAACGCCGTTCTCCTCGTCTAAGCTCCTGGAAAAAATTGCATTTGACGGCGTTAATTGGTCATCTGAATATTCCATTCCGAAGGCGTTGCGGCGATTACGAGCATGAGATTGGGATTTGCTAGGCAGGAAAGAAGGGCGGCTAGCCGATGATGCAACTGTGCCTTTTATGTTGGACAGATATGGAATGTAACCAAAAAGAATAATGATACCACATCGACCAACATGCCATGAGTTCCCATCATTCCTGCTTATAGAGTATCACGGTGCACCAAAGGAAAAAAGAGTCCGTTGCAACATGAATCAGATAGTCATGCAGAACACTAGTAATCTATACTTGCTAAACACCATTCCCATATGCCCGCCCAATCCGTGGTATCTTCCATTCCCAGCCCATGCCATGCCATCTCTGCAAAACAAAACAAAACAAAACAAAACAAAACGCCAGCCAAAACTCGGCCATTACCTCCCATAGAGCAAGTTTAGACATCTACAGTATTCCCGTCACACAACGACACCGCTCAGATCAACATGTCGCCTCTGTCTCTGCACATCGCCAGCCAAAACTCGGCCGTCAGCATCCAGCGCACCATCTCCCACCCAATCTGTGACAATATCTTCCTGATGCTCGTCATCGAAACTGCCCCGCCTGCCCGTCTTATCCGCCCAACCCGTACGTTCGAGTTCGATGATACCGCCAAACCGTCTCTCTCCGTTAGCGATAAACAGAGACTGTCCGTCAGGCGTAAACGAGACACCATCCGCAGGGCCAAAGAAGTCGAATACCTGTTTTGACTCCCATGTCTGCGCATTAATAATATTGATAAAGTCGTCTGCTTCAGCTGCAACGAGAACACGGGGTCCAGAGCCAATGGGTGAGAAATGCAGAGACCGTGGAACACTTAGTTCGCTCTTCATGACGGCCAAGGGCTTCTCCCAGTACCGCGCGTCCCAGACGACAATGGTGGAATCCTGGGCGGCGGTTGCGACGTGGATGCCGTCGTCTGCCCAGGCACAGGCGAAAGCGTCGTCGGTGTGGGAATTTAATGTTTCAAATGCTTGGCCTGTTTCTGCGTTTGTGATGAGCGTTTCTTGGAAGTCGCCAACTACGACACGCATGCGGCCGTTTGGACTCGTTGCTGAGCAGTTGACTGCTGCTGGGTATTGGAATGAGTGGATGAGCGTGTTGGTTCCGCAGTCTAGGACGCGGAGGTGGTGGTCGTTGGAACATAGGACGGCTTGGGGGGTGTAAGTCCGCCGTGAGGAGAACAGATGCATGTGGTTGACTATCCGCGACTTCGTGTCTGTTGCAAAGTCCGAGGTGCGACCGAACGTATAGGCCGAGCCTTGGGTAGAAGCAAGATTTGCGATGGCGTACTCGCCTTCAAAAGCGCCGGCGATAAGTACATCGCCGTGTGATGCAATGGTGGTTATTGACGCATCAGGAGCTAGATGTTTGCTGAGATCTGCGACAACATCTTCGGGCACACCTTCAGCGTCTGTGTGGAGTACTTGGTGACCTTTGGCATAATAGACATCGTTGCGGGATGTAGCTGTCACTATGTTTCGCAGCTGGAAGTGAGGTACGAAGGCACGGGGCTTGGTGTTGATCCTTCGAAACTGGAAGAAGCTGTCTGTGTTGGGTGTTGAATGGATATACTTCCGAACTGCTTTGACGCTATGTAGCACTCTTTGACGCTCGTGCTGCGATCGCGCCTTACGAACCGCTGCACGTGTAGTCTATCAAAGTGTTAGCTTAAAGATTTCTTGCTTCTTGCATATGTATAGGCAGGAGATTGCTAGACGCTGTCTCGCAGCTGCCAATGTAGACATCAGAATGTGAGAACGTACATTGCGTTTCGTCCAGTCGATGCCCTGGTAGTCATATTCGTCGCCCTTCAGGTCGTCTCGACTAATAAAATCCGGCACCTGCACGAGGTCCAGACCAGAAACGACGGGCTTGAAATGTCCAAAGAAACGATGGAAGTAAGAAGTGATGGGACAAAAAGCTGCCCTATCCTGGATGCTCAGATGCGGCTCATTGAGCGTGGGTGGCGGCTCGAGCAATGGATCAGCACCATATGGCAGGTGTATTGTTTGGGCCCCTATAGCCATTGGCGCGGCGATGTATGTAGTGGATGTGTGCAGGTGGTGAGGGATGCTGGATGTTTGATCAAACATGTCGATAGCGTTGTATGTAATATATGACGGGTGAATTGGGCCAAACATGTCTTCAATCGTGCCTCCTTCATCCAGCGATGGGTCTTCATCGTCGATATCTCCCTCTCCTGCTCCATGCGACCCAGGCATGGTTTCCATAAAGTGCTGGTAGTCTTCTAGCGATATCCCCCCGCCATCGTCATCGTCGTCCTCCACCTCGTCATCGTCGTCGCCGTCGTCATCGGCCGGTCTGCCGTCAGAGAGAGTCGCAAGAGTTACAGCAGCAGCCAATGCGCTGGGCGAGTGCGGCCAGTCTCCATGGTCCGGATGCGATTGCGACGGCGGCGTTGTGAGATGCGGTGTCGTCGAGTGTGGCGCGGACCAGTTGTGCATGCTGGCCATCGACGCCCGCTATCCGCCTGATAACCAGTGCAGCGGGGCCGCCGAGGCAGGGTTTTGTCGTTTGTGCGTATGCGACGAGACGGTCGACTGATGTAGTTGTAGAGAGGCGTTGCGGCGCAAGGTATAGGCTTGTCTGGCGTGGGGGGGAAAGGTGACTAGGCCAAAGCATAGGCTCGGCGCAGCGAAACAGGCAGAATACAGCAAATATGTAGCGGCTGACGGGCTAGTACCGTCGCGTCGCAGGCTGACTAGGTCGCCTCTCTGCACTCGATCTGTCTGTCAACTACCCGAGGCGCTGCATGCGAAGGAAGACACGTCCTGGCTAAATGTGGGGTCGCTCCTGCCAGAGCCCTAGATGGGCATTGGCTGCGGGAGAGTTGGGCTGGGCTGCAGGGCAAGCAGGTCAGCTCCCGTGATGATTATGGATATGGCTATGTGCGCCGAACGGCTCCTAGAACCTACACTTCCGTCAGATATATACACCGTCTGTGAAGCCCGCCGAATATTCGTATCCCACCCTCCGCGGGCCCTCTAGTTTAGACTGAACACGGGGGGATCGGACAGCCACCCACCCCCAAGCCTAACTAGCGACTCCACCATCTAAGAGATCTCCAGACAATAGATCTGTGTATTCACGCTGCTCATCTCCACGCTGTCACCAGGCGTTCAGGGTTAAGCGGCCATGGCGTGCCCGCGGACAGTCACACAACTCACATGGCACTGCCAACACGACAACCTTCTGGAGCCAAGACCCGACAACGAGAATGCAGTGGCCACTCAACGTCAGACATACAGGCCCACACCTGCTCTTGTCAGGCCCCTTTTGGGACACAGGCAGCACACCAGCTTCGCTAAGCTCATCGTCTGGGGCCAAAAGGTGACGCGCTGAGCGCTGGCCCATAGTTGCACGGCGAATTGGTGGAACAAATCAAACGTCTTTCCCCACCGCGCCTCCCCAGACTGTGGCTCAAATGCCGTTTTTGTCTCTCCTAGCCGTCCCGCCTCTGGACAACGGTGCTGGCACTCCACGACAGTAAGCCACTGATCGCTCCGGAGAAATGCCGTCGATTCAGGGCCCATCTTACGCAGACGCTGGAAGCACAAGACACATCTTGAGACTGTAAAACGATACAGGAACAGTGATGCGAGATCATTCACCTCAGTACTGTTTGATCATGACATGCCGAGTCTCGCGAGAGCTGACAGCATGCGGTAAGGATGTATTACTAGAGCGAGATGCCTATGTGACCCCGACAGTGAAGTAGAAATTCTACAAACTCATAATAATGACAGAAATGGCCTGCTAAAACGGACATCGTAGCAATGCA